AACAGGACTGTAATTTCACACAGTGTCACTGTCTTTTTATGAAAAAGAACGGAAGAAATATCTTGTACTGTCATTTTGTCCTTTGTAGTCTAGAATGTGAGAGATTCCTTAATTGACATAGTGTCATCGCAAAAGTCTATTCTACATAATTACACTATGGCAACTGAAACCAGCTGTCAGCCATTCCATTACACTAAGTACAAACAGACATCTCAAGAAAAGTCATTGCTTCAAGTACATCAATTTAACACCATTACTACTTTTCCTTTTAAATGTTTTGTGTATTCGGTGACCTGAAATACACAAAGATTAACAGAGAAAGCTGAACAAAACAGCAATTTCAAAAGCCTACAGAATCAAAGTAGTACTTAGAAATTAATTGTGATGCATATCTGTATATAATTATCACCAATCATTGAGCAGCTTTCTGACTTCAACAGTATTTCATTGTATTAACAGTATCCCTCTTACAGTATTTTACATATAAACTTATGATCTTCTACAGTCTTTCCAATATCATACAAGATGTCCTTTGTTAATTTACCTTGAGTTTCTCTGGAACAGAAGAACCATTATTCTGTTTCTCTCAACTGTCGTACTACTAAGTCCTACCACCCTTTTTCTCCTTTCATTTTCTTTTAATGATTCCGTAGTTTCCTGTCTTTTGTCTTCCTTTGTCAACGCACTTTTTCTTCTTTCTCATTTGACATATATTACCACATACATTTTCTCCTTTAATCCCTCAATCTCCCAAACTTTGGATTCATCTTAACCCCTTGGGTATCCATCTCCTAGCCTCCAGTTTGTTTGGTCCTCCATTTCTCCTTTGAAAATACTTCTTTCCTTCAATTTCATCTTAACCTAAATGTTTGTCTTAAATCTAAAAACTTGATATTACCCAGAAGGTAATGTGGCTTTTTTTCCCCTCTATTAGTATTTTTTAATTATTATTTTAAATGATTGCCAGAGGCTTATATCTACTTATGGAGCCTGTTAGAAAACGGTTGACATGTCAGCTCTGACCACACACAGGAGGTGGCCCTCCTGAACAAGGAGAAAACTGCTGGATCAACATCAAGAATCAAGATACTACTGTAAGACCTGAGAAAAAACATGAGAGCTTGTAACATGGGGGCGCAGGGACAGAGTGTGACTTTGAATATCCAGATCACAAAAATATTTCTGCATCCTCAGTTCTTCATTATGGACTCAGACCATATAGGATGAGTCTCTCACTCCTTATGTCTATGTCATATAACACAACTTAATATCCCTATGTCTGAACTGCACCATCAGTTTTTCAATGCAACTACTCAACCATGAAGGCGTCCAGTAACAACAAACTCTGAGACCGACTCACTGCACAGTACAAAGTTAGACTGGTGAGCAGCTGCTGGCAGCTTCCTCTGGCACTCTCCTAACAAAAGGAGAGCTGGACAGGCAGTCAGCCCTTAGGCTGAGAGCTGTAGGATTTCACGCTGCTATAAAACTTGGTTGCACAGCTCTAAGGGATAGAGGGTGTTGGAGCTCCATTTTATTAAGTTCTGTTCTTGTTGCTTTGATATATCAACATAAGGAAAGGAGGGCAAAAATTCTTAAGTTCTCTGCCGATACTATTTCAGAGGAGATAAGGAAGCAGGGGAAGCTTCCTTGTGCAGCAGTTAAATGCATTTTCTTTTCCCTTAGGCTTTTTTTTTTTTTTAATTTTAAAAGAAGAGAATGAAGATGGCTCTTGTCCATTACAAAACAAAGAATTTACACTTTGCTGTGTGAAGGTTGTACATAAAGGCAGCACATCACCTTCTGTTGCTCAAAAACAAACGTAGTGCATACATGGGGAATTTGAATCTGGTCTCTGAGACACATGCAAGCAGTCTGCAAATGAGAAAGGATAACTGGGAAGACACAATAGACTAGATTAGACCTTTATAAAGTGGGGTTGTAATCCAGTTTGTAAGGAGAAGGAGAATGAAAGTTGTGGCCCCAGCTGTACTGAGTCGCAGTGGCCTAGCACAACGCACCATAAGTGACACCCTTTTCTCAAAAAGGCGCAAGGCACACTGAGCCTGGCAACTCAATTACCCTCTCAACCCAGAAAAAATCATTCCTTCCCTTTCTCTCTTCTACTCTCGATCTGAAGTCTAACAGCAGAACAGCAAGGAATGACTACATTGTACACGGTCTGTAAACATCTAAAAAGCTGCAGGCTTTAGAGAACAAGTATCTCTGACCTTTTATGATTACTAGAGCAGCTTTCCAACAAAGCAAACTGCGTACAACACAGCTCTCAAATACCTAACAACGTAATTCATTTTTAGTATGCTGCTATCCACATACATGTGTATTAATAACGAATAATATTTAAACACCTGAGTACAATACTGTTTACTCCTTAGACACATAGGAGGTTGAGGAATTCACTGAATTGCATCTCCTATAAACAACTAAACTTTGAAAACTATCTTCAAGGACATTTAACAAAACCTTGACAGTATTTACACTAATCAAAAATATTCAGCAAGCATATTGCTGAATGATATCTAAATGATCTTTTTAATAAAAATTCAGAAAAAAATATATTAAACTACTGAATAATTAAGTGAGAAATTACTTTGTTGCCATTATAAACTTTCAAAATTATAAATCAGAAGTTTCAGTGTGGTTTCCAAAAATGCACTGCTCTTGTCTTCTGTCTCCTCAAATAGCAGATGATGCAGGTACCTCAAATACTACAGAATGAAATGGGAGAGAGGCCAATCCAGTACCAGCCACACCGGCAGGTTCTCATGTCAGCTCTGCCAAGGCCAGGACTTCAAGTGAATCATTTCAACTTTCTGTATCTCCCTCTTAACTTCCACCTTAACTCTAGCAATTAACAAAAACATAGAATACTTCTATTTAAAAAAAAAAAAAAAAAAAAGTTGTTTTAAACTGAATACAGAAGCTACTGCCAGGGATGGGGTCCAAAAAAGAAAGGCTGTGACTACATTTTGGTAATCTGAAATACTTGGGTTTTTCTTTAAGGAATAAGTCTCCCAGAAGTATAGCAGTATACTGCAATTCTTTTCTAAAGCAGGATTTCCTGATAAAACAGCAACTGATCGTATCAAATGCTCAGAGCAAAAGCACAGGCTTACCTAGAAGCTGAACCTGAAGTTATCAAAAAGCCAAATTCTATAGGGTTGACCCGACTCACTATCCACCTACAAGTAAAATCTGTCTCTATTAAAATCCTGAAGAATGCGTCCATTGTTGGTAGCGTGATAAAGACTTCACATCTTCAAGGCAGATTCCTCTTATTATTCCAGTATATCTTTGCCAAAATCTAACACTCCAAGCTCTTCAGTCAACTCATCTTGACTTTCTCTGCTCTGCAATGGATTTGCAGAATTCAGAATGAATCAGCTATTAAAATGACTTGCCCTTTCTGGCAAATCACAAAAGGGCATCACATTTCTGATGGCTATAAGAGTTTAAAAGGGCCACCAAATCTCATTCCAGGATGATGCTGGTGCCAGTTCTTATATCTCCTGCTGTAATATTCAGTTTGCCTTCCCTGACTTTTTACTCCCAGCTTTCTTATTTCAATTATCAGGCCCCTATTTTATCTTCAACAACACATCATCCTACCTTAGCTACTATCTTTAGGACAGTAGCATAACAAATCCTTGATCAAGTACAACTCTGGTAAAACACTTTCATAAAATTTGCTTTACACTTCCTAAGGAAACTACTGTACAATTACAAGACTAGAGCTTTTACTGCCTTGTACCTTCTCTGTTCAGTTCATCTGCTTCACAATGCCTGGAGGATATAATAACAAGCAATATGGCACATGTTATACTATGGATGCAAACAGATGCTGACATTCATGGAAACCAACGCCATGCTGACAAAGTATAGACACTATAAGGAAACAGTCTATTTGCAGATGCTGATCACAATGCCAATTACTGTAAACCACATCAATTCTACATTATAATTTATGCATGTATCCTAGATCTCTTATCCTAACATTTCTTATGAAGGTAGCGCCAACAAAGCAGCTGTCAACTCATGCATGGCCACACTGCTGCCATTCCCTTCTGTCCAGCTCCACCTGTACAGCCACTTCCAGCTGCACCCAAAGCCAGGCACAACACAATACGGGGCCACACAATCTTCATACCACCTCCAGAACATTGTGAGTTTAGATAAATAAAATTTCTGATAAATAAATCACACTGCAGATAATGATTTCACAGATGGAAGAAAGTTTCACAGAGTAAGATGCATCACTATCCAGTCCTCTTTAGGCTGTCCCAGACTGCCTATGAATATTTTATATCAATTTTGTAGGCATCTTTGTTTATTCCTAGCTTATGTAGTTAAAAGTCATTTGTAAAACACGAATATAATATATATTTTTTAGGATTTTGTTACGATTATAGTAAAAGGCGGTGGCACTATCCCTCCAAAGAAGAAGTTCAATTTATTCCTGTAATATTTTCCTGCTAGTCTACGTGACAGACCACATTTGCATTAAGCAGAAATTCTTCAAGTAAAATGAGAAAACATTGCTCGAGACAGCCACCTTCATGTCATATTTCTGCCCAAAGCCAACTTAAATTTTAATAACACATTCAACAACAATAACAACATCTTTAATGAAAGAAAAGTTTGTACCTGTAACAGCTCAGGTAAGAGTGAAGTTAAATTCTTATATTGTAATACTCAGTTTTTTGAATACAAGTACATTTGAAAACCATTGAAAGCAAAAACCTTCACAGCAAAATTGACACAAAGAAGCGGATTTTCAGTATGTGATATCTCTATTAATACAGAACTGCCGTAAAAGTAATTAAAAATTATATGACTTGAATTTTAAAGCATCTGTTTTTAAACACTTCATTTCATTTCTAAAACTTTACAAAGATAAACCTTGTAGTACAACAGCACTAGCCGATCTGCAAGCAACTGCTGCTCTCTGCTTCTATGTACCACTGCCAGTGTGATTTTACCTTGTTTGCAATGCTTGTGATGAATGACTTGATGTCCAGATTAGTTGGGCAACTCTTCTGACAGGGGGCATCTGCACACTTCAAGCATCTGCAGGAAGAAAAAGAAAATGTGTCACAGAGATATGGAATACCAATGCTGCCAACAGCATAAGGTTTTCAAGTGAGCGTGGTAGAAGATAAGCTGCAAATGAATAATACAGAGCATATTCATAACATTTCTGTTTAAAAACTCAAAGTGTTACCTTGTTATTCTTGAATTAATTTGCACATACATTAACCGCAAGAATCCTACAGACAATACACACAAAGAAATGAAAAGTAAATTAAAAAGAACAAACGAGACTGAAATACCTACAGTGAAAAACTGGACTAACTTTGTCAATCACATACATTGCTTTTGCTTTTGTTTGTTGGCATGCTCTTTTTTTCTTTCAATTAAGGGTGGAATAAGCGAAAAGGCAAAGTCTGTTAAGTAAAAAATTAATAAGCCTTTCTTCTTGCTATTCATTATCATCTAGATGGGCACTGCAGACACCATGGCACTAGCAATACTGTGGCTGAATTTGAAGGCAATTTTGGTAGCACTCTCTGATTTTCCTCACAGATCTACTCATGCAAAAAGGGTCCCAAAGGAAACACTTAATGGCAAATAAGTCTGATGGATGGCAAAGGCTGGGAAATGTGGTAAAGCCAGACTTCAGGTTCAACAGCATGGCGGTTACTAGTTCAACTAGCCAGGATGTCAGAGGGCTCTAGCAGACAAGTACCAGCAGATTTAGCTGTGGCTGTTACATGCACTGCTGCTCTGCTCAACAAGCATGTGTTATAAATGCCTTACCCAGAAAAGACAGGCCAGAGGGAACCTCAAACTGTTTCTGTGCCCAGAGATTGAGCCAGGATGCTCTTAGCATTCCAAAGAGATGAAAATACAGAAAAGCACTAGGACTAGGAGCCAGGAGAACAGGAGTTACGTAGAAAAAATATCTGACTTGATAAGGGCTTGTATAATCATTTTGTCTATGTAGGCAGTAAGGAAATAAGAAGGGGAAAAAATTAAAAAAATTTAATCACACTTAAAAAAAAAAAAAAAAAAAAAAAAAAAGCAAAGATTAGGCAAAGATTTGATTTCATTATGACTTTTGGCTCGTCGCTTTCCTGAATGTGGTTTCCTTTAAAAATGTAACAGCCCTGTACTCAAGATCAAAAGAACTGCATTTAATATAAAATACATTTCTACAGACTATATATAGAAAAATCTCATGTCAAAACTGACTAGAATGGCACACAGCAGGATAAGGAGTACAGCGGTTACCAGTTGTGGCTATTAAGCATCTTTGTCGAATTGCATCTTTTTTGAATTTTGAGCTGGTTCACAAATAACAGCTGTTGAAAATGTCAGCTATTTAATAGAGAGCGGGGGAGGCAACTCCAACTTGAATGCTAGCTTTTGGGGAGGAGGGGAGAGGGCCATGAATATGCCAGTCCAGACTTTCTCTTATAATAATACCATCTTCCCATTCTCTGAGCACTCTGCAGACTAAAGTGCACCAGGCTGCCATTAATCCCACTTATCACCCTGACAGCTCTGTAATTACACTCCTGCTATAGCTAGGTACTGTAAGGTACTGTAGTCCTAATAAAACATCAAGCACTGTGCAAAATGCATGCTGGTGAGGTGTTTTATTAAACTTGGGGGGTTGATCATCAAGTGACATTCATGTTGACCTATTTTTCTATTTGACAATAAATTATGCTTTGACCATATCATAATAGATATTACAGAGTGGATTTGCTGTACCAAGGAGCAAAGGTACTGCATTCTAGTGAGCCAGGCAAAACGCATAAATACAACTGCAGAATCATTCACCAGAAAGTTATTACATAAATTGCTGCAAGTGATTGATCCTTTCAAAAAAAAAAAGTCACAGACAAAATACCACGCTGAAGAGAATGTGGCAACAATTATAATGAGCTTCAATTCAACATGCACATTCCCATACAAAGAAACATTAAGTATTACATTTCTTTTCTTTAACTGCCTTCCCATTCTATGAAATCTCCCTTTCAGTTTAAAAGGTTATTCCATAGGTATGTTGTTAGCTGAAAATAACATGAAGAATATATAAATTCTTTTTTTCTAAATCACCTAATTTCCACCAAATATAAGTGAAGAGCTACATGCTTACCAACAAAGCTACTTTTTTTAAGCGGTCGTACTATTCTAGGCTGCATAAAGTTGCAGGGCATTGGACAAAGCAAAATCTACGCTAATCTCAGAATAGTCATGTCAGCATTCGTTAGTACAAAAAGAAAAAATAGCTGTCGATTATCAGAGAACACTCTATTGTCAATTGCCTCACCTTCATAGAACAGAATCTCTTTCAGAAACATATGAGCTATACTGAGTCTTAAAAGATACTGCGTTCCCCTCCAGACTTCTGCAAGGTCTTTGACATTGTCCTGCAACATATCCTTATCTCTAAATTGAAGAGATATGTATTTGAAGGGTGGATTATTCAGTGGATAAAGAGTTGGTTGGATGGTCGTAGGCAGGGCGCTGTGGTCTACGGCCTGTCTGGAGACCAGTCACAAGGCATGTCCCCTAAAGGTCAGCTCTGGGACCCCCGCTCTCCAGTATCTCTATCAACCAGACAGAGAGTGGGATCAAGTGTTCTCTCAGCAAGTTTTTCAATGACACCAAGCTGAGTGATGCAGTTGACACAATAAGGCAGCATACTATCCAAAGAAACCTGCACAAACTTGAAAAGAGGGCCAATGGAAACTAATGAGGTTCAAAAAGGCTATATCAGGGCAATCCCAGGTATGAACAGAGTCTGGGAAAAGAGCATATAATAAGCATCCCTATGGAATAAAGTTGGAATGGCTTTAAACTAAAAGAGATGAAGCTTAGTTTAAATATTAACAGGACATTGTTTACTCAGAGGGTGGGGAGCCTCTGGCACAGGCTGCCCAGAGAAGCTGTGAATGCCTCATTCCTGAAGGAGTTCAAGGCCAGGCTGGATGGGGCCCCAGGCAACCACTGGCAGGTGGCAACTCTGCCATACAGAGGGGGTAGAATGGGATAAATCTTTAAGGTCCCTTACAACCCAAGCCATTCTTTGATTCTGCCACATTTCATTTATTTCCATGCAAAAGGCAACACACTCTTTGTACCACTATAAACCCCAACTTGAGAAACTCGAAGAAAGTTAATATTCTTCATTTTGGAAGCATTTACCTGTTGGTTCAACTCATTCTTATTGAAAAATGATAAATTAAGTTAGATATAAAACTCCTAAAATTGTTATGCAAATGTTATATATTCTTATATTTATGCAAATATCATTATTTGGCAAAGCCATACAGGCTTGCCCATGATTATATCATGACAGAGTTTTGTTTCCACAGGTCTAAATTCAAAATTTACATCTCTTATTGGAAAGTGTTAAATTATACATACGTATCCCCAGTGAACTTAACATCTTGGACTTCCTGCTTTCAAAAATGTTGCAACACAAAGGTTATTTAATACTTAAGGTGAGAATACTTGTAAATCTCTATCAGGAACAAAATTCTATATATGAAAGATATTTACATAGTAGCCCAACATTATCAGCTATCAGATTTGTACCTAACAATTTTGTCAGTGAAAAATTGGCACCAGAAATTGTGTCCTCACACACAAATCTTCAATCCACCTCTAATATAGCGTAAGACAAACAAAATAACCCACAACAGCAACAAAAGCAACACTGAGAACAGTAGATTTCAAATGTCTAAAAGCAATAAAAGGAAAAAAAAAGCACTTCAGAAGTAGTGATTTTTGTTTCAAAGCAATAAAAAAAAAAAGAAAAATGGAATAGACTGCAGATTTCTGGAACAAATACTACTCTTTGGGGAAGCAAAAAGATGCAAGAGAACTATGAAATGTGTCTCGTATTTAAAAAAAAAAAATGAAGAGAACACAAATGAGGAAGAAAAAAATAAAGCAGTAACTAATTCCTGTACCTTCTGTAAATTCTGTAAATTCTTTCCTCTGGGACATCAGAAAATAGTTCTATATTTTTGTTTACAGAGGGGAAAAAAAAAAAAAAGGAACCATAGCCAAAGCCAATTTTCAGTTTATTTTCATTTGTCTGCTTGTTAAAACATTTTTAAGTATTTTATTTTACATCCAGAATATCTGATCAGACTATAACATGTCTTCACTTCTAAACAAAGATGGGCAATTTAGTTATTTCATTACCTGAAACTGCAGGGAATAGTTACCTAACTAACTGGCAATAATACATGCTATCTGAAGTACAGTCATGTTTGCTGAAAGGCCAGGGTGGAAACAAATATTCTGGAGTAATATCTAACAGATAATTGCTGATAACCTATCAAACTTTCATATGTCACCAAAAAAAAAACCAACTAAATAGCATATATCATGGTTACTGTTGGCAGACACTTAGAAGCATATCAAATCCTAATCCAATTATGTGAGTTCCAACAGGACAAACACCAATTTTGAAAAAGATCTTCTAGCTCTATTTGGAAAATTTTCTAAAACTTTAACTGCTAGTCAAGGAGGTAGCCCTGATAGTCAAGACACAGAGATATTTAGTATATACATCTTTTGGTCAGCCATTCTAAGAGAAATGGCAGAGGAGTTGACTCCACTCGACAAATCTGAGAGCAGTTCACATTCAGAGATTCGGACATATATTAATTTAAGAGAGATGCTGGGATAAAGATCCATCAGTTTTTTCTACCGCAATGATGAGAGGCTGGTAAGAGCCTATTTTTGTCTTACTTTGCATTTCACAGGGCACAGAAGAGCAGAAAGATTATAAAGCAGCAGGGAGATTTTGTTGTGAGGTGTAAATACTGAAACATAATAAAAATTGATAGCAAAGTTTGATGAGTACCAAAACAAATGAGACTTGGAGGAATTGTGTTCATTCAAAATCAAGAAGCAGAAAAAGAGGCTAACATGTAACACTGAGAACTCTGCTGTGTACGTGCACTTTTGACAATGAAGACAAAATGATCCCAGAGTCAACTGCAAGTACAAAATTTTGCATAATGCCTCTAAATGTAAGG